GTTCACGGTTATTATCGTCAATTCCGACGATATCGCTCGTCGACGAGAAAACCTATTTTGTATTTATTCGCGTCGCCTGTCCGCGGCTTTCGTAAAAAGAGCTGGTACCCACCAGCCGTTTCGTTCGGTGTGGTCCGACAGTTGAAACTGGTAATCGGCGATCCTTGCATAAACGAGTCGCGAAGAGGAAGGAAAGAAGAGGAGGAACGCGTTGGAGCAGTGCTGCGAGAGAAGGGAAGATTAACATACAGATGAGATCACGTGTGAGTTACCTTCCCATGATCCAGTCTCTCGATCCTACGTGCATGGTGTCGAATTAAATATCTACACCAAGAAACAAGAAATTTTCAAATTTTCCCGCAGACAAACTAACGTAGACCATCGAGCGATCGAGCGAGTTTAAAAGAATCGCTGCGAATCGATGCGGCGCGTTTCGAGGAGGACGAAAATGGATCCTGCAGCGTGGGCCGAGGGACAGAAATTGATGACCAACGGTGGACGTTGCCTCCTCGAGAGAAAGCGGACAAATTGGGAACGATGTGGGAGGGAAATATTGTTCGAAAACGATCGTTGTTCACGATTCCGCTTTATGCGTTTCTCGTGCACCTCCTATATTTCATAATCCTTGCTCGTCCACCGTTTGGGATCGAGTATGGCCGGGATTCCTTGTTCGGCACGTGGCGTCTGATCGATAAAAATAAACAATCGCAGCAGCATCGGGTCGACTGTTTGCGAAACAGTAATAATCATCTTCGTGACGCGTATTTGGTGGTGGCTACTGGCCGACAGGATGGCGCGTGCAAACCGTGGCCAGCCGCGCGTTTGTTAGCCGAGTTTGTATCATTTAACTGGCAGATACGAGGCTCGGTGAGCGAAGCTAATGCTGAAATAATGCGACACACCGGCTCGTTGCCTGCCACGCGTATGCAAACGAAAACGCGAATGGTATCCCTCCGTGTCGCGGGTTCTCAACGCGTTTGATATCGCGATCATTGGCGAAAGTTAATTATAAACGATGAGGAAAACGTGTCGGTGAAGAAGAGTTTTGAGAAAAGCCGATTCAAAGTTCTCTCCTCGACGCCGTCGAAATGAAATACCACTGCGAAGCTGCACAGTGTAAACGATAATAATTAATGCCGAAAGTTTGAAGCGTCGAATCGCGTGTCAGAATCTCGAGACGGTTCAAATAAATCTCCGTCTGCTGCTTCTCGAAAACGTCTTCAACCTTGGGATACTTCGCCGCGATTTCCCAGAGGGTAAGGGTAAAGTCACCAATGAATACGAGGAAATTTAGCCTTTTTTAAGAACGATTATTCGAACATTTCCACCGCGGCAACAGCCTTAGTCGACGGATTAACTCAATTTCCGCGACGTTTCGAGGTTGCTTCCCGCTAATCTGATTACTTAACAAGGGCCAAGTTTCCCGGCTGGATTAAAACGAGTTAATTTAAAGTTTGCCCGTGACGGCCAAGTGCGTCAAACCTAACGACGATCATTATCTACACCGGCGACGTTTTCCGAGACACCTCCGTTCACCCCTTTCAGCGGCGAGGAGTATAAAATAAATAGAAGTGGAGGATATTGTGATAACTAGAGTGTATCCGAAGACGTCCGACGTTTAATGTCTCCGATGGTCCACTTTCGAAAACGAGGCGAACGCGTTTCGGGGCTGGTACATTAAACGAAAGCAGCGGACCATAAATACGGGCCGCAGTGACATTCGTTTCGGGAAAAATAGCGGCGGACGTCGTGAATTTCGGGACGAGGCAGAGGCAGAGGCACGTTATGAAATTTTGTGCAACGCGGTTCGCGAAATCTCATCCTCTACCGTTCCATCGTTCCATTTCGTTCCATTTCGTTCCATTTCGTTTCGTTCTCCGGTCGGCCGTTCTTTTTCCAGCCTTGTCGTTCCGTCGTCGTCGTCGTCGGGCACCGAATGTATATTCCCGCGCGTGCGACACGTAGGCTCTGGCTGGATTTTCATAATGAAATTACTGGATGTGTCAGCTGCGCGAGGACGCGTCCAGCCGTCCTCCGTTATCGCGTTCTCACGCGTCCCTCCTACGCCAAACTTCACTGAAAATCTTGTCCTCCCGATTTTCACTAACGACTGTGCAGCTCTTTCTATGAAATATAAATGGAAAATCAATTTTTTTTTAAATTTATTATATGATACAAAGTAACCGGAGTTCGTAATTAACGAGAGAAGAAATTACAAGAAAATTATAAAAATAGTTTTGTATAATCGTATCGTTTCCGAACTTTACACGCTTCCACGATCCAGTTAGCTTAACTCGTTGGGTTCGCGACTATTTTTTAACAACCACCACGCTTTGAATTTTTCCACGAACATGTAATCCTCTTATCGCTCCGGGAGCAGTGGTTTATAACGACGGCTAATTAATGCAACAATTACGACCGCATAATACAGCTTACAGTGTACTCCAGCGTTATCCATGATATTCCACTCAACGTGTAATCGTCGCTGTTTATTCATCCCTTACCGAATGTTTAAAAATATAATTTCAGGTTGTCATTATAATACAGAAGAAATTTGATCTTCAATTTCATTAGAACTTGTTCGGTTTACCTTTTTCGACTTATGACTTTTGATTCTTGAATTCAGCCGAATTGTCGGCTGCTCTTTTGCTCTCGGATACTCGTTGTCCTAGACTATTTCGAGCAACGCGAGACAGTCGCGACTGCCAGACCCAGCTAGCAGGAGATTTATCGCACGAAATCGTGCGACGAGGCTCCAATTAACTCTCGAATAAATTCTTAGCTGACCCTTCTACGCGGAGGACTGTTCCTGGATCTCTCGTGAAACTGATATTATACATTTCTTGATGGATTTGCGAATTCTCGAAGAAAAAGATCCCCTCTAAAAATCCTTAGTCTTCTCCGGATGTTTAGAGCGCGGAAGACGCAGTTTCCGTTCGCCTGAGAAATACCGATAGGCTTCGCGAGACGGTATTGTGTCGGTCGGTTTTATTGAATCCTCATCCGTCCCCCTATCCTTCTTTTGTATATTTTCATCCGCGTTTGCTTCGTCGCGCGAAAAGTCGATCGACATTGCTTCCAGCACGGTGTACACTCGCCGTTGAAGATCTCCGTTGTTTGATTTTCTCTCAGCCACCCTGTCTAGCCATCCCCAACCGTCTGTTTCCACGTAACGGATTCAGTTTTGCGGCCGAACGTCGACGTTCGAGGGAACGGTAACGAAATGCGGTCGGTATTGCGGAGAAAAAGGGAAGGCGAAAACACGGAAACGGAAGCTGCTCGGAAGGGGTTGTATCGGATGGAATTAAATAAAAATCACGCAAACTGGAGATTTGGCGAAGCACGAAGCCGAGCCAGAAACGAGATGGGCGCTCGACGCCACTCGGTTCGCTGCTCGTTCGCGTTCTGTTCTGCATGCGAATCAGGGGAAGACGGAGAACGAAGGGTGAACAGGGGATGCAGAAGAAGCGTAGAAACGCCACGGGGTTCCAGCATCGTGCTGGAATATCGGTGGTGGCAAGAAACGAAACGGAAGCACGACTGCATTTATTAAAGCCAGAACGCGTTCCTTTTCTTCGTCCACCCACGTGTGCCATTCTTTTATTCTTTCCCTTCCGCTTTTGCTATTTGCTAGTGCTCTCTACGCGTGAAATACCAACTGGATGGCTTTCTCGTCGCTGGCGTACCTTCCTCTCTGTCTGTTTCTTTTATCATCCTTTCGAACGAGTTTCTAAAGTCATTCGAAATCGAATCCGCACTGTGACATCCACGCGAACTTTGCTTTTAAAGAGATCCTAGCATTCTTTCTGGTTAAGAGTCCGTGAATTTCTAAGTATCTTGGAATTTGTGCTTTCTTAACCACTAATAATATGCCCCTTTTGCGTTTCTTCTGACACCAACGAAGTTTCATCTAATTTTCCTCGAATTATTATGTTGAAAATTTTTCCACGCGTACGATTAATATCATCTTTACTAATTAAATTCATCCAATGAATATCCAGTTCCTTCGTCCCGCAGCGAACGTGTTAATACGTTCCGAAGAACATTAAAGCGATTCTCGAACCGCTTCAATCATCCCGCCACCCAGGGTGCTTCCGGCAAGTCTGTACAATAACCGTGGCTGTGCAGGATTAAAGAAAGCCAGAACGTGCGAGGGGGGTGAAATCAATCAACGAAATCGTTTGGTAGATGACGAATAGGGGCAACTTCCTATCGGCGTATCGTCTATTACTCTCCGCTAGAACGTCGCGGCTCGAGGCTCGTTCGAAAGCCGAAACAATTAATCAACCGAATACAATCGTGTGTTCGGTGGGGTGCAGGGCGGTGGATAGACGTTGGCGTGACTGATTCATTATGAGACTGTAATTAAGTCCCTGTATTAGCATACCGACTAACGCGAAAAGTGAGACGGAACGTTGCGGCCGGAGTGGAACGACTTGACCCGAAGGTGCTTCCTATGCTAACGAGATACCGCTTGTCAGTGTGTGTATGAAGGTAGAACGCGTAGAAAAAGCACGCGTTTTACCCCCGTTTGCACGGGGCTACGCCGCGGCCGGTCAGGGAGTCTATTCTGGTCGGCGGCCATTAGGACCGGCTACCAGACGCGTATCTCTTAATTAGCCGGCGAAATCCACCCAACGGACGCTCGGGACCGTTATCAATTTAACCCCGGCACCGCGAACTTTCTCGGTCAACTGGCAATTTTTTTTACTCTTCCAGACTCGGACCGACCTGACCTCTTTCTCCTGCATCGTCTAGATTCTTGCTTTCTCCGTGATGATACCACTAACGAGTTTATCTCGACCAGTTGTCCCTTCCGTTTTCGTGGGGTTTCTGTTTCTTACGTGATTTAGAAGCTCGATATCGCGATTCGAAGCTCGCGTGCAAAGCGGAGGAATAAATAACGAAGGGTAGCGGCAAGGTTTGATAAACCTTCTCCCTCCGTACCGATTAATAGTTCTGCCAATGGGATTAATGTTGGTTTTCCGTGTGGTTTTCAGCACGCTGAGGTGGAGGATGGAGGAGTTGGAGACGCTGGAGAGCACGGAGTGCCCCGAGTGCCCGGGTCCACCCCCTGAGTTCCGGTTGCCGCCACCCCCTCGGCCACCGTTCCTCACCGACGGCACCTTTTGCTCCGAAGAACCTCTCACCGAGATCGAGGACTGCGTCGCTATTCCGGTGAGTCGACGAAACAAACGAGAAATTATTATTTTCTTCATCGTTGTTGGCTCTACTCGTGACGCTGGAAAGTAACGAAAGTGGCTCGAAACTCTAATCGGTTAAGGGAGCTTTAAATCTTGATTCAACTCCCACCGCGTATTCATAGCTTCCCTGCTTCCGTTCCTGGCTTACGTCGACTTCACGAAGGTACTTCGACCTAGCCATCTTTGAGAAACTTCTCCACGGTTGCTTATAAAATATTCTCCGACTTAATCCGCGCATCCAAAATTCCTCGAATATTCCGTCGTTAACGTCTTAAGGGCCGAAACTTGCCTTGTAGAATTATAACCAGATCCGATTTTTCGCCGTTTAAGCTCTGATGAAGATGAGTCAAGGTGTCCGGTGGAAAAGAACGGGTTGAAAAAGGACGAGAGTTCTACGGTTGCTCGATTCATATCGGTAGAACGGGATTTTAAGGCTGGATAAATTCTGGAGCTTCTTATCCGATGCCAGCAAATTGAATCGAGAAAAGCGGGGAATAAAAAACGATTCGGAGGCGTTTTTCTTCCTGAGGAACGGTTGCTTAACGAAACGTTTCTCTGGGGACCGAACACCATCGACGAGAGGAATTTTCGAAAAATTCAATCGTGTTGCTTTTCAATGAATATTTACCGTATCGTATCTGAGTTATACTGACAATTATATACAAATTCCAGTTAGAAACACTCGAAACGCGTCGTTACTGCTTTATCGTCAAGCAAATCGTCCATTTGCAGAGAAAAAGAGGAAGTACGAGGACAAAAAGAGAATGTTGGAAGATAGGAGAGAAGGATCATCGGGACGGATGTTAAAAGTGAGAGCAGTCGCGAAGAATAATCGCTTTGGCTCGTCGGTTCGGGGTGTATATAGGAACGTGTACGAAAACTCTGTTTCGTGTCGCTGTTTCTGTTATTGTCTTTAGCTGCCTGTTAAAAAAGCGTATTTACCCGTGACAGTAGCCATCGCTCTACCGCCACCTCCGCTTTTTCATCCTCCCTCCTCCTCCCACGCCTTTTTTCCTCCCGCGACGAACGGATAAAAACGGCTCCGTCCCTATTAATAGAGAACACGTGTCCCGTTTGTGTGCTCTTCCCGAACCCGTCGACGACCCATTATCGCCCGACGATTTTACATCATTACGCGTAATTGGAGAATCACGGTGGCTAGAGATTTATCTCTCGTTTCGTTTAGTTTCGATTAAACTCGGCAAGGAAGAAACGGCTGAAGGGAAGCTGTGGGAGGGCGATCGTTTCAGCTCGTAAGATTCGCGTTATTTACAGCGTCAGGGCTTGTTTATAATTTCTAATTTCGCCCCTGCCGCGTGTTATATTAAATCGCTTTAATATCGAGAGCCAGTGTCTTGCGACGAGCCAGGGTTTAACCCGAATTATAATTATTTAGCAAGCGACCAACATGTATATGTACTACGTGTATACACATAGATATATGCTACGTACTTTCGAAGGAAAGCTCTGCTTTCGTTTTTGCACCCTCTCTCTCTGTACAGCGTGTTAAATGCATCGGGCGTCCTTAATTGAATTCTCTCTACCCCACCAGCGGACCAGTGACTACCGAATTTGCTTTAAATATTTTGTAGACCCCCTTTGGATGCTTCTTGACCGCGAATTGTACCGTCCTTTTCCTAGAAATTCGACGAAATCATCTTGTTTCTCGTCTTGCGATTATTTCAACCCCTTATATGGCGTTCGATTATACGACATTCTTAATTGTACACTTCCTTGACCGATATTTCTACGCGTAATCGTGCCTCTTTGTCCACGTTGCGAAAGCTTAAAGTTGGTTAGCAAGAAACGAAACGAGAAAAAGCAGCCCGAGCAGAGAATCGTAACGTTCTGCGAGGCAAAATGCGCAGAGAAAGAGGCAAGGAAGCGGAAGAATTGAAGGGAAGAGGGGAAGGAGGGTCGAGCGAGCCGGATGATAGTAATTAAAAAGCAGCCGGAGAATACGGTCCGCTCATAAGTTGTCTGGAGTTTATTAGAGGGCGATACAGTCGCGCGATATTTATTAAAACCACCATCCCATCTTCCGGCTAGCAGTTTCCTCGGTGTCGCTTCGCAACCCCCTTTGTGCCTGCTTGTCGCGATCATTTTCGGCTACCGTCTCGAGGGTTAATTTCTTCAGGGATATTTATCGCTGGAAATCCCTTCGAGGGTGAGCTTGGCACGAACGAACCACCCCTTTCGTACGTTCGTTTCAATTTCAAATAATTCCCAGATATAATAGAAGAAATGTGATCAATTAGACGAGCCTAGAAATTCCGTTCGACATATAATAAATAAACGCGATATTTTTTAACTTCTCTTTGGAAGTCGAAGATTGGGAAGAAAGTAAAAGTCTTGGAGGAATCGAATTCCACCAAGCACCACCCTTTTCACTTTCGTTAATCGATCGAAGAACGGCCCCGAGGAGGGGTAGACAGCTGAAGAAGTATTCGGTGATAGCGTTTTTCTTCTAGGCGAGTCTCTTCGGTACGCCTGGGAATCCGCTTTGTTTCCGGCGGCGCGGCAAGTGGAACAGACGCAGGATTGAGAAAATCGCGGAGCTAAGCGGAAGAAGAAAAGTGCTTCGTTTCTCCTTAGGCAGAGGTTTACGGGGCACGGCAGAGGGAGGAGTAAAAAGCAAACCGGTCTTGGCGAATGATAGAAATAGGGGTGGGTAGTTATTGTCGGTCTCGCGGTGAAGGGGTTGTATCGGCGTTGTAGCCACGGTTAATTACAGCACGAGTGGAATTGGGTTTCGTTTATCGGGCCGGCTCGATGGAACGTATCGTCATTTCGAGCGTCCAGATAGCAAATCGATGCCAGACGTCGACGTCGTCGTCCTCCTCGATATCGACAGAGAGCACCCTCGTCCGGATTATCTCGAGCCGATTGTATCTCTCCTCTTTCGTCGATAACACGGATTTCCTGCTAGTCTGTCTGTCCATAGGGAGACCCCTTTCCAGATTTTGACTATCCACAATAACCGATGCCCGTTAGTTCCTTTTTCACAGACCACGCCAATTTTATTGGTTATTTATTGAATTTTCATCGATTTCTTAGACATCGATTGCTTAAAGAGTGGGTGATAAAATATTTTCCCTTTTCTTTGGTATTGAAATTAACAAAGTAACCATCCGCTGAATGGAGAAGAAAAGTTTATATCAGAACTATCTCTATTATTCCTGTTTGTTCGCTTGACGCGAGCTACGCGGAAGGCACGCATCGTAACGTGAAAATGGTGGTTGAAAAATAGCAAAATTATGCGGGAGTTGATACGCGTATGCTAGCAGGATGCGAAATCCTTTGATCCCGCTAAAGGATCTCGCTCTTTTTCCCTTCTCGTCCGAAGATTCTGTCGTACGGAGGATGAAGCGGCTGCAACTTTGAGCAGACAGTTGCACGCTTTGTTTTCGCGTATGAAGCAGCGATTTATTCAGCTCCTTCCACGCGGCGCGTCATATTTTTCCCCGAGTTTCTTTCCATTCTTAAATTCAACTCCTGATCTCTGTATTCTTGCGAACATTATATTGCTATTCGGTTGATATCAAGCAAAGGCAAGTGGGACTTATAGTTACATAATAATTCAATCGAAAGAATTCGTGTTGAGAAATCGTTCGTTTTTCCGGTGTTGGAACAAGTTTGCAGTGGAAAGGCAGCTGGCACGGTTATTAAACGTAACGTTCGCTAGTCTAGCGTCGCGATTGGGTGCTCGTTAACTCGGATTACAGCCGATATTAAATCGCGACTATCGCCGGATCGAGCATGTGGCGTAATCAACGCGAGCTGTGCGTAAGCGGGTTAAAGTACCGGCTTGAAACCCGCGTCGCACGCGCCCGTTTCCTGCTGAACGTTGCTGCCAAACGCATTAACTTTCCCCCGGCCACGAAACCCGCTAAATCATTCCTCCTCGTGGCGCTTGCTCGCGCGTTACGCCGCATGCCGCGCGTCTACGCTACCAACCGGTGCTTTATCGCCTCGCATAAATCATCCGCGCTAATCCCGGCCCGTTATCGCGCTCCTTGCGCGAATTCGACGCGTGCTTCAACCCTTCCTTTTTTTTTTTAACCGAACAAGCGCAAAAGAAAACGCGAGTAGCAGGTGTGTCAGAAGAAAGGCGCGACGTCTGTTCGTGGGCTGATTGCGGGTGTAGCTTTCGAGTTTGCCGTAATCCTCGACGTCACGGGTTTGAATTAATCTTGCGTGGAACGAAGAAGCCAGTAGTTAGAGTGTTAGGATGTTTAGATAGCGAGGTTACTGTTTGTCTATCTTGTTAGAGGGGCTGTCTTACGGGTGACTTCTCCTGCTGCTGTTTGGATAAACCTGCTGTTTTTAGAGTTTTCATAGGGGACGACTGTGAGGAAGGGTTATGTAGTCGGGAGCTGGTAGAAGTTCATTTTATCTGAGAACTTATGGGGAAAGTTACTTTCTTTTCTTTTTTTTTTTTTATAGTTATATATGGTATAATAAAAAATTACGAACGAACATGGTTGCCCTTTGTGTAGATCTCGGTATAACCACTTTTCCAGTCCCTTAAATAAAAGAATCCATAAGCATAAAATTCTGCGATAGCTTCGAAAAAGGTGTCTACGGTTTTATCGGGCGAAAGCTCGACGTAAGTCGTCATCTAATCCGGTATATATCGTAGAGCCTTGTCGAGGCTTTTATTCTTTCGTTAGCGATGGTGAAAAGGGATCCGAGGGAAAGCCCTTAGCCGAGATTTTTCCCGGGGCTGATATCAAGCCGCGTCGTTAGTGTCATTATTATACCCGCGAATAACCGCGTTCGCCGATTTTACTTCGACATAAAAGCCACCAATAACCGTTCCAATCGGGTAATAAGATCCCTCCTTCTGTCCTCGAATGGCTGGGATAAATCGACCCGATGCATCGACGACAGAGTTCCTTACTTCGCGTAGTTGAGTCTCAGCGTTGGTGTCGTCCATTTTTGGATCTCGTGGTCCGAAGATGGGTGGACTTA